CCTTATCTTGGTGCTGTCAGCACCACGCTCTACCTAGTGAGCCAGCTGGCCATACCTATATAGGGATCCGAACCCATGGCCTTGGTGTTATCAGCACCACATACTCCCGAGTGAGCTACGGGCCGGCCCTCCAAGTGGTGTCTTTATTGCTAAATTTTATTAAATTGAACATACTAGAGAATCACATTTCCAATCCAGATGAATCCAAAGGTGTCGTCAGCCTTTTTGCAATGAAAATGACTGTGACCCTGTAGAGGGACAAGGGGGATGGTTATGTGAAAACCACCTTTGTTTCTTATAATTTACTGGCATCTTATATGATAATGTTGAGTTTTGTCAGATGTTCTCCAGTTGGAAGAGATTGCAGGAAATTAAAATGTATCTGCCATTTAATGGTAGAACCAAAACTGAACAGTTAAACCATACCTCACTTCTTATCTTAGTCTGTTTGGGCTGCTGTAACAAAATACCATAAACTGGGTGGCTTATAAACAACAGAAATTTATTTCTCACAGTTCTGGAGGCTGGGGATTCCAAGATCAAGGGGCTGGCAGATTCAGTGACTGGTGAAGGCCCATTTTCTGGTTCATTGACAGCACCTTCTTGCTGTGTTCTTATGTGGTGGAAGGGACAAGGGGTTTCTCAGGCCTCCTGTTTAAGAGTGCTAATCCCACTCATGAGGGTGGAGCCTGTGTGACCTGATCACCTCCCAGAGGTCCCATCTGCTAACACCACAGGGTTAGGATTTCAACATGTGAATTTGCAGAGACAGGAACACTTGGACCACGGCAGTTCTCTGTTTGCTGTTTGGAGTGAAGGTGATACAAGACCAGGAGGTACCCTGAGGGGTAAAGACACTGGCCTAGAAGGAGCTGAATAGGCATTTCTCAAAGGAAGATGTGCAGATGGTCAACAGATACGTGAGAAAATGCTCAGCATCACTCAGCATCAGGGAAATGCAAATCAAAACCTCATTGAGATACCATCTCCCCCCAGTGAGACTGGCCAGTATCAAAAAGATAGAGAATAACAAATGCTGGCGAGGATGCAGAGAAAGGGGAGCCCTTCTACATTGTGGGTGGGACTGTGAATTAGTGCAGCCATTATGGAAAACAGCATGGGGTTTCCTCAAACAGCTACAGATAGAACTGCCACATGATCCAGCAGTCCCACTGCTGGGTGTACACTCAAAGGAATGGAAATCATCATGTCAAAGGGACACCTGCACTCCCAGGTTTATCACAGCTCTA